AGTCAGTTGAGGTTATATTATATCTACACGTAGTGATATGTATGAAGTGATAAAGCTACATGAAAATAAATGCTGTCTTTGTTAGATGTCATGCCTTGTGTATACTCTTTGTTTGTTTGATTGAGATTTGTAATTTATTGAACTGCTCAGGTTGCTAGTTGTTTGAACTTGCAAATCCACTGAAGCTTAATTAAAATGGGCTTTTAGTTTGAAGTGGTTAACTCATTTCATTAGTGAATTTAATACAAAGCTTCATCACCTTTTATTATTGTGCACACATGCAGCAGGACTTATCTTTCTATGTATTAAACACAAAAAACACATATAGAAACACACACTTGTTTATTTTTGTTAAAGAAGAGTGCCTCAAACAGTGCATGCTGGGACGTCTGTTACTATGCTAGTTATGCAAGGTTAGTTTAATGGGTTGAATGAACCCTGAGATCTGAGCAGAAATATCGGTTTTGTGATAAACTGACTTTAATATTACAACATTTACATGCACAACATTTGAGAACTGTGCTAAAATCTTATCTAACATTTTATGGTGTCATCAGTAGCAGCTTACAGTTTGTTCAGTTCATTCAATTTCAGAACTCCAGTCACTGAGCTCTATATGTGTTTTGCCTGAGGAGGACATTCTTTAATTAGGCTGTCAGTAGCAGATTGACAGCCCCTCCACCCCTCAACTAAAACATCAATATTAACTGTTAACACAAATTTAATAGGCTATCAGTTAGTTTTACTTGTGCTGATTCACCTCCATCCATCAGGTGAGTAGTGACCAGTATGGGCTTAGTACCAGGGACAGGTACAAATAATTTTTCCTTCTGTGGAACTCCATGGAAAATCTCTAAGTGTGAAACCGTCACTGGTGATTACCCCACCAACCCCAACCCTAAATTTAAGCAAGTAGGAAATATAATTTAGTTTTTATGCAATTGTTCTCCCAACTCCTAGTAACTGGGGAACAAAGAAAATAATCATTTATAATAAGTAGGTTCCCCTCTTCTCCAAATGTTAGGATTATGGTTACTACCTATGATGACCTCAGAAGGTTAAAACAAGGTAGAAATATTCACTTTATTCAGAATTATTCTATATGAAATACCTTAGTGAACATGAACTTTTCAGAGTATTTTTATTTGTCTACTGCCCATACGCTCTCAGCTATTCTTTGCACAGTGCCAAGTCTCCTCCTGCTTAGAAGTTTGCAAAGAGCTGTAAATCTTCTCTATATTGTGCTATATATACACTTGGCTTCCCGTGGCTTTAAAAGCTAGAACTCTGTGTGATGTCTGGCTGCAGTAATGCAGTGCTGCTTACTGATTTGGTTTTGTTCTGTTGCTTTCTCATGAGCGACTGGCTGGAGGCTGTTTGGGTGAGCGATGAGGAGCGCTGTCTCAATGAACGGCTTCAGGGTGGCCAGGGGTGGAAAATGGAATGTCACGCAGACACATATGCATCCATACACAAAGACAAGACACAGATGTTTCATACTTGAACACAAAAACTCAGTGGTCCTTGCACAGTCCAACCTCTCCCCCACCACACACACACACACACACACACACATCGTCAGTCTTTTATCTCACTCTCTCTCCTCGTCTCATTTCTTGTTGCACTGCTTCGGGCTGTGTGCAAATTCATTCACTGTGAAAATGGAAGGCAGCTCCGCGCTGCACACTTTCATTTAGTCTCATTCAGTTAGCCACAGACTCTCTGCATGCTGCTCTCACCCACATTTCAGTTGAAATTAAAGATGTCTAATCGCTTACGCAAACTGACACAAAAGTAATTAATTTCAGAGTCAACACCACACGCCCAGTCTCTAATTTTCTGGGGCCTTTGACGTCTCCTCAGGGTGGATGTCGCCTGTAGGCTCCGACATTGTGTCTGATTTCCTATTGCAGAACAAGTATTGTGATTAGCAAGGAAAGCGATTGTGCAGATAAAAAAAAATGTGGTCTTCTATGGGGTCAGAGTCGTTACAACTACATTAAATGGACTTTTAACATTGGAGCATTGCTCCTGCTGTTTTTAAATAACTCTCAAATAGTTACATTTCACACATTCTGTGATAATGGTCGCATGCAGGAAGTCATCACTAATCCCATTCCCTTCTCTTTTTTTTGCAGATGCGTAGTACTCGAGGTGTATCCATTTGGCCTGTGGGATTTGTGGGTGGCAGAGCATATGAGCGCCCCCTGGTGTCTGGGGGTAAAGTTGTGGGCTGGTACACTGGCTGGAGGCCAGACCGACCTTTTGCCACCGACATGGCAGGTAAGAGGCAATCTGTACATCAGCTAAAGTGCAAGG